AAGTTCATCGTCTCCTCTCTCTGTATGTGTCAACTGTGTAATCTAGAGTATATTGCTTTAATGGTTCATTCTGTAATAAATTGGATAAGCTGTTCTATATGTTCCGCAGTTTTATGTTTTACACCAAACAGCTTCATCTGTTTCCTCTGTTAATGTACTCCTGCTAACTGAAGTTAATTTGTTTAATAGCTTTGCTTGTAATCTGTTATACATGTTTACATTGTCGCGCCTTTTCATTTGTGTTGTACCCATCCGGCTCATTCTGTATTGTTTATTGTCCACACTGTATTAATTTTCTTTTAAATATAGGCGATGCAAGGCGCCAATGGGTCCCATGACCCACCTTCCCTCACTTCCCACTATCCTATCACACTTACCCCCTCCTTCAGCCCCTCCATACTCTCAACTTCTTCTACCCTATCTCCACTTCCTTCTTACCACGGGCTATACCTCCGAGTTCGGCCCTGTCTCTTTCCTAACGCTGATAATACCGAGGACACTACTCCTTTTACAATGGAGGAAATGGATCAAGCTTTCAACTATATGGGCAGGGGCAAGGCCCCTGGCCTCGACAACATTACTGCAGAGATTGATTGCTCTTGGTCTTCGGAAGATCATTCCTCAAACACTGTATAATACCTACAACACCTGCTTAATACATGCCATTTTCCCACACGCTTGGAAAAAGGCTAATATAGTTCCCGTCCCAAAACTGGGGTCTGCTACTGACACCAGGCCCATATCTTTTCTGCCCGTGTTGGGCAAAGTTTTGGAGCATCTGATTGCTAAAAGGATGATTTGGTTTGTTGAACGAAATCAGATTTTATGTGAGACTCAATATGGCTTCCGCCCTCAGCACTTTGCGGAGGATGCAATTTAGGCAGTGGTCGACGAAATTCAACATCTGCTGGAGGATCACAAGTATGTCCTGGGGGTCAGCCTGGACATTTCAAAAGCGTTTGATAGTGCTTGGTGGCCCCTAGTTTTACGTCGTTTATGTCAGATAAATTGCCCTCGTAACATCTACAAACTATTATGTGACTATTTGAAAGATCGCAGAGCTATTTTATGTTATGGACAACATCAGGTCATCAAACCCATCACTAAGGGATGTCCACAGGGGTCTGTCATAGGACCCCTTTTGTGGAACATTACATTCGATGCTTTTCTTAGTGAGAACTTTGGGCAAACTAGCAGTTATGCTTATGCTGATGATGTCTTCTTGCTGCTGGGGGGCCGGTCTAGGTCTGACCTCGAGGGTAATGCCAACAACATGCTTCAGCATGTCAGCAATTGGGGTGTAAAGCATAAGCTATATTTCAATCCTGTTAAAACCAAAGCAATAGTGTTTAATAAATCAGGTCATCCCAATCTGTATCGACGTCCTCCGCACATCAAGATGCAGGGCAATACAATTAAAGTGGAACAGACCCTAAAATATCTTGGGGTTATTTTGGACTTCCGCCTGTCCTGGGATAGGCATATTGACTACATTACAAACAAGACTGGATTAGTTATGCAGTCTTTTTCGCAGGTGGCCCGGAGAGACTGGGGCCTCTCTAGCGACGCTATGTCTATAATTTATGATAGTATCTACATACCGGTGATTACCTACGCGTGTGGCACTTGGGGGTGGGCCACACGCAAAGTTCATCCTAAAAGAAAGCTCGTCTCCTCCCAGCGTCGTGCCTTATTACTCATCACAAGAGCATATAAAACAACTAGTAATAGTTCCCTCCAAGTCCTGGCAAAAAAGCCACCTATAGACACCTATAGACTTTCTATCCTACAAAAGCGACGACTTCGACAATTAAAATGGGGAGGCACAGTAGAGATTACTTCGTGCACCATTAATTATAATGACATCGAGTGGCCTTCCTCTTTTAAAGAAACTCGCTCACCAGGAGAAACTTCTGTATGCAAATTTACCAGTTCTGAGAATGCCGATATACACGTATTCACGGACGGCTCTCGTATCAATGATAATGTTGGGAGTAGTTTTGTCGCTTATATAAATAATATTGAGGTCCACCACCAAATGTACAGACTTGACAGCAGGTGCACCGTGTTTCAAGCCGAGCTATATGCTATAGGGATGGCCATTGACTACATTAATCACAACTACAGTAATATTCATGTGCACATACACACTGATTCTCGGTCAGCTCTAGATCTGCTGCAGAGCAACAAGTTACATCCTCTGGCTGATTACATTAAAAATGCAACCCAATCTTCTGAATGCACCTTTACCATCACATGGATAAGGGCTCACCAGGGAGACACTGGAAACGAGAGGGCAGACTCCCTGGCTAAGGATGCAGCCTTGAACGGTTCTTTACAGATCACCTATAACAAGATCAGCCTGCGATCGTTACACCACCTTCTCTGGAATGACACAATAGAACTTTGGCAAAACACTTGGAATCATAACTCTGAACATATCACCTACAAGTTCATCCCAGATCTTAGACAATTTTTAAAAACAAATTGGCATACTCCAGACTACTGTACATTGCAAATCTTTAGTAACCATGGAAAATACGCGAGCTATCTTGCTCGTTTCACAAACAGATCTTCTGAGCGATGCCCAATTTGTGACACAGAAGACGGTGCCTTACATTATCTATTTGATTGTGTCATCTTAGACCGTGATCGTCTCGAACTGCAACTCCTCCTACAAGAACTTGGTGTTATGTGGCCCTGTCACCCTTCGGATATCTGGCACACTAAAGAAATCTTCTACGCCTTCAGGAAACTGGCAAGGCAAATCAACTTTGTCACGCACAAGATTATTAACAGTTAACTCTTCTTGTACTTGGACATTTCCATTTGCTTGTTTCTCACATGTATATTGTTCACTCCTACACGCGTTAAGATTGTCTCGATAGAATTAATTTATCTGTATTTTAATGTTACATTAAACATGTCTGTTTGTCCTCCCTGTATGTTCTACACGCGACAAGAACTGTCGCGTTCCTTAATTCAATTTGTTTTTCTCTTTTGTTGTTAAAAATCTATGTATAATGTCTTTCAGTTTCGATGTATTTATCTTGTATATTACTGCTAATTTTGATGTTCTTCCTCCCTGGTAATGCCTAAAGCAGGACCAGGGCATGTACAACTCATTCAGTACGAATAAATAAATTGATTGATTGATTGATTGTCTGAATCTGGACATGAATTGGGGAAACCTCTTGTGGCTGGTCAGTATTTGTGTCATAAGCCTATTGCAGCACACCAGAGTGAGGCCAACTACAGGCACGAAGGCGTAGGTTGGCCTGCCTAACGTACTTTGAGTCCAGAGCTCTTGCCAGTTGGTCATTGATCGTTTCAGCAAAGTACCTTTAATGTAAGTAGTCGAGGGTCCCACCGTCCTCATTACAAATGGGGCGCTAGCTCTCTCAAGTTGTAGCAAGAAGTGCTACAACTCTGATACGAAAAACTGTAGTATTCATTTCACCTGAAGATGGTATCTATACGTTACTGAAAGTACTAGTGAACTTTTTATATTTATATTTTAATAATTCACTGTGGTAATGCCACAACACATAAGTGATTTTACAATAATTCAATACATGTGTTTGTAAATTGTTTTTAACATTCAGATAGAATAATTTTTTTACAGAATTGTATGTCCTCGCTTCTTGACTTGATACTGGAGGGAAGCACGAACGATTCTCCAAGTGAATTTATATCCGAACTACAGGAATTGAATCGTTCTGCCATATTAATAACTGAATCCGAATTGTTAAATTTGGTATGTTAATTTAATATATATTAATATTTAAAAATGTTATTTTATGTTGATTTTCATATTTTTACTTTGTAATAAATTCAAGATTGATGATAAATGAAAGATTTTTCTGTTAAGATAAAATACAATTATGTTGATAATTTTTTATTAAACAAATAAACTTTCAGTTTTTAATCAGTTGAAGTATCAAGTTTAATTATTGGATAAGAGTATTGAATATTAACTATATAAATTTCCTTTTGTCTTGTTAGATTTTGTTTTATTATTATTTTCATTTAATGAAAGAAAGAATGAGAATAAAAGATTTATTTTTTACAATACAAGATGTTCTGCTCAAAAGAACCAAAATTTATTTAACTATAAAGAATTAATGGTCAAAGATATAAAAGTTTACCAAAGATTTTATATGAGAGAAAAACTCACTAAATCTCATTGAAAAATCACATCTCTGTGTGTGATCCAGCAGTCACAGTGACAATATCAAGGTGGTAGGCAATTTCCTGTTATGTATACTGCAGCATATTTTGCCTCATAGTGGCAATGGCTGCAATGATGCAATCCTAAAATATTCTGAAGCAGGGATCACTCTGGAAAATTTAAAACTATTGCCACCATTTTGCAGTTTTTAATTTTTTTGCCACTTCAAATTTATTGCCACCAGTTTTACTTACTAATTAATGCAGATGCTGGTAGCCTTATCAGTTTGGTGTCTGGAAAGCAAAAGTACATGTTAAACTGTAACTTACAAGAGGACAAGACGTTTGGGTTTCTGATTTGAATGGATCTTTAGTGAGCACATATCCTTCCTTAAACACGCAGCACCTTGTCCTTATAACAGGACTCGCTTCTCAAGTGATTCCAAAAAATGGACGTCTGAAAATTTAATGTTTAGTTTATAAATCTTTGGAAGTTTCATATCCAAGAGTGGTGACAGCTGAGTGAATAAGATGCTAGGCACTGAAGTAAGACAATGTAGGTTTGAACCTTTGAAAGTTCAGTTTAGTTTTTATGTGTAATATTATTATTGGGTTGCAGTTGTAAGGTTTCTGACAGGGATGCGATAATTAGAACTGATAACAGTCGAGAGGGTCTCATGTGGGTGCGATCGGTACCAAGACAGACTACAGTTACAAGACACTTACGGTTATTTGACATGAAAGAAGCCTACAAGATTTCCATAATCTTGAAAGTTCTAAGTCAGCAGTGGCCTCTGGGTCTTCCTGTCTTTTCCAAGAAAGTCCCAAATGAAGGAGTGTTCCTGGTTTGTAAGTGACAGTTTCCTCGACTCTGGGATGATGTGGTTGACATCCAGTTATGGGAAGATGTCGATCTGAGGACAGGAGACAGAGATGAAAATGGACATGAGACACACACACACACAACAATTGGTTCGACATTTTGAACTTTCGGGAGAAGAAGCTGTCGTGTCCTTGAATTTTTTTGGGCTTTTATTAATTTCTATCCTTGATCGCCCATTCTAATTGCCCGCTTTTCTTTGTTCTTGCTTTCTAAGAGCTTGATCACTCATTACTAAGTGTAATGAGATATTAGTTTAGATTATGGGAGAGGTCAAAATTGATATTTAATTCAATTTCCCAACCAGAGATGGTTAATATTAAAACTTACATTTTTTACATGTTTATAAGTTCACATCGCATTTTCATACCAAAAAAAATTATTTATAGCTTCTATTTTTATTCTTAAAAAAATGATTTTAATGTCAAGTTGGAGTTTGGACCTGTCGAGAATTTGGAGTGAGGGTTTGGATCTGTCGAGAGCCTCATAAAATTTTCAAAAAATGTAGAATTATAAATTCCTATTGTTGTCTGTCAGGCTGTCTGTCCTTTCTTAATCTCGAACTGACTTAGTCACGTGAAAGCCATGACAAATTTTGAAAGGTCATCGCTTTAACTTCGACCTTGTTTACATTGGAGGAACTATGCGGCAATTAAAACAAAGACTCAAAGAACACAAAAACTCTTTGAGTAAGAACATAAATAGTACTGTGCTCGCAGCATTCGCCAAACAGCAAGAGGTCAGCGTATATTGGGATCAAGCCGCAATCATTAGAGCTACGAACTCCAAGCAAGCAGTGAAGCATTTTGAAAAGATAGAGATATACAAGGCTCACATAAACATGGGGGTGCATTAATTAATCATAGAGATGCAGATGGATTATCCACAGTATGGAAGTCTTTTTATAATAATGCAAGTTAATGGCGGTTAGTCAACATATGTTTCCGCATGGGCGGCTCTATTTTTGGCTTATTGTTATTTATCTTATTTCGGATAATTTGCAGGCGCAATTATTTTGTCCTGCGCAAGCACGTTTTTTATATTTGATTTAATTTGTATTTTGTACATTCTATTTTAATGTTCTTTTTAATATTGGATTAACTGAAGAAAGCTGTTGAAAATGTTTTTATCAGATTAAACATTTATCGCTGGATAGTTAAAGGTGTTAATTATATTGCTTAATCAAAGTGAAAAAAGTCATCCCAAAAATCTCCCAAAATTTCTGTCAGTTGATAAAAAAATCCCACTCTAGAAATGCTGGGCGGCATTGCACAAAACTGCCTTCAGTTCGGCTTCGTAAACTGCCTTCACATACGGCTAAAAATTATCTTCTAGCATTTAAATGTTTTTGGTATTTTAAAATAATTTTAAACATGTTAGATGCTTTCCATATTTGAATTGTACTGGTCAAAAGCCTGAGGAAGACCATGATTATGGTCAAAAACGTTAGTTTTAATTAAAATTTTGTTGTTACTGGGATATAATAAGGTTCTCGTGTATGGAAGGAAATATGCATTGAATTATCATACTTTAAATGCGGCAATGATGTTTGGATATGTGTCTGACCCTACATCATCTAACTAATTTTATTATGGAAAACCATCTATTCACTGTGCTGCAATATACTGTAGTGTTATTCAGTATTTCACTGTTTTTGTTTTTTAAAATAAATTTTTACATTTTTCAAATAATAGTTCTCTTTTGTTCTGAGAATTTGTGATGAATATTCTTGAACCATTCTGAACCAAGTCCAATTTGTAGAATGTGTGTTGGTTCAAACTTCTTAATTGTTAACTGTACCAATAAGAAATTCATAATGCAAATTAATGAAGGCCTGGTAGTTGTTACGAGCATTTCAATATAAAAACTCTCCGACATTAAGTTACATTAGACAACTGTCAAAAATACATTATTCATTTTGTGGTGCAACATGATGGGCTGTTGAAATGGAAAAGTAGGCTTACTCAACTATTTTAGAATTCTAGTTTATGAAATTTCCTTATAAATATAAGGAAATTACTTTTAAACAGAAGGGAAAATTGAGAGATAATATTCTTTTCTTCATGCTTTATTGATATCTCTGTAGATACAGAGAATTTTAGACTTTGAAACTTTCATTAAGAAGTTTAGTGAGATTAAAGCTATCAAATGGAAAACTCTAATGTTAATCCTTTTTGATTGCAAGGGTAATTTGAAATATAAAAATTTAGTATCTAAGTAAAGAATGAAAATACTGTAATACGCTTCTTGTCTAGCCTTGGTATATACTTGTGAGCACTATGTTGGCCTCTTTATTCCTAGACTCGTTACATCATCTAGGAATAAAGAGGCCAACATAGCACTCACATATATATATTTTATATATATATATAAAGGATGAATACTTGCAAAAATAGCAAAAAATACAGGCCTTGGAATGGATCACTATTCTTACTATTTCTCATTATTTTTAAATAAGTCACTTTTTCTCACCAATTTTGGTGATATATCACTAATTTTTAATTTTCTGCCATCATGGGCAATGACATTTTCATGACGCCAAGCTGTTGTGTTTTTTCATTAATTAATGTATAAATAGTTAAATTGTGATGCCCATAACAACTTTCTTGTGTTGCATGCTGAAAACTTTGTTATTACATGAGTTTTGGGGTCTTAAAAATATTAGTTATGCAATAGCATGAATTGAGAGTGCACAGTCTAACGTTGACAAAATTTTTTTCGAAATACAATACAGTCGACCCCCCTATAACGCAGGTTCATATAATGCAGATTCGTATATCACGGCGAAAAAATTGCGACCATATTCATATAAAGACACTAAAAGAGTCTCCTAAAATGTGGTAAAACATCATTGCTGACTCGTGTTGCGATAGGATTGGTTGAATCTGGACCAATAGTGGACGAGCAGCCGAACTACTTACACGCTACGGAGAGTTTAGGCGGGTAAGTTGAGTTTACTATCATCTGTACAGTATATAAATTAGGTACTGTAAATCTAATATAGTACTGTAATTTTATACATTTTTTATTCAACGGCCATAAAAATTATTTATATTAATGATGTTTCCAAAGTTCAACGAATTTTTCGCAGAAAAATAACTTATCAGAAAATGCACCCACTGTTGGTGTGCTGCTCTGCGACAAAAACAAGCTTAAGCAATGGCGACGTTGAATGGTGCACACTCAGTAAGTAATCCTACAATTTTTTGTTTATAGCATAGTTTATACGGATTATTCCCAAAAAATTATACGTGTTTTGGGAATGTTGAGTTGAATTAGCCTAGAATCGATTAATTTTATGGAAGAAAACCTTATGGACAGCCGTAGTCCATAAACTGCACACGTGCCAGGCTATGATTGGCTCATGTATTTGAGGATTCCTACAACGTGAAATTCTTATAAAGTGGAATGTATCTACCGCGTTATAGGGGGAGTTGACTGTATTTTAATCCCTTCTAAGTTAATCACAATTAACCTTCATACCTTCAGTTTGAGGGTAGGTATTAATAAACCAGTCTAAAAATGAAAACCAAGTGCAAAAAAATGATAAACAAACGTAATTTAAAATGACACTATGATTTTTGATTTTTGTTTTAACAATTTCGATAGTGTAACAAAATTACCAATTAAATATTTTTCAAGTTAATATTTTATAAAATTTGGAAAGTTTATTAATGTGAGGGTATGAATAGCAGGCCCAGCCACAT